TCGGCGTGTACATCACACTCACATGGGGTGAAATCCGCTTCAATAAAAAAATATTTTATACAAGTGTGTCCCATCCCCATGTGAGTGTGATGTACACGTTGATGTACACCTAGCAAAATCGGGGGAGAGAGAGAGGCATAGAGAAAAAAATTACGAGAAGGTGTTTTTAAAATATCGACGACGATCACAGTCAAATTTAGAGAAACTTATCAAACGCGTATAGCTGCTATAGCAATTGGCTTTTTTAAAAAAAAAAAGTACTTGAAAGGGAAAAATTAGCCAAAATCATGATATTAAAATTTGATTATCATAAATCAGATCATAAAGATTTTTTTTACAAAAATCGAACATTAATTTTAAAAAAAAAACCTCATTTCTCTATCTCTAACCGTTTATTTCTCTCTGTAACTACTTCTCTCTCTACTTTATATCTACAAAAACGGAAGCACCGTTTCTCTCTCTCTCTCTCTCTCTAACACGAAAAGCATTTCTCTATACTTGAACCAAATCCTCGGGCAAGCTTTCCCGAGGGCAGCATAGATCTGATCCCAAAATCACAAGCTTGTAGCATCGTAGTCGCAACAAAGGTCAGCCATAAAAATTTTGAGATCCTAGATGAAAAATCATCATGAGGTTCCTACACGTAATTTTTTTACGAGCGTATTAGCATCAAACGTGATCGAATTAAACAATTTTTTATGATGGGAAATATTATACAAGTTTATTCTCTTTCATAGCCTCATAGGCCTATTTTTAGCAAGCGGGTGTCACTTTAGAAAATTCAAGTTTTATACTTTTTCTAGTCAACAATAACAGAATTTCCAAAAATGATTAGACAAGAAACTTCGAAAGCCAAAATTAATACATTTATCTCTTCGACATCTCCTTTTATCGTTGATAAAGATCTTCATTGTTACACGTGTGTCATTTCCTCGTCTCTCTTACAAATGTGCACATTGTTATTCTAATGGTGAATCTTTTAACTACTCATCTTTCTATCGGTTAATGATTTCTACATTGTGGTGCAACTGTCGGAGATAATTTTCTACAAATACCTTTTTATGTGCAAAATTGGAAAAGATGGACAACCCCAATTAAAATATGTAAATGAGGTTTATGCAAATCTGGTTCTAGTCATTAATGCACATTCGTCAGCGATTATCAAATATAATATTCGTTAATGACCGCAATAACGGTACACGATCGTTGATCTGGTCAATAGAGAAGATTCAATGTTATTGACGGAAGTTTATTCGTTCATTTCTTTTTATATTATATATTATATAAATCACCAATGGAATATTACTTCGATAATTTAGACTGTCTATCTATTTATATGTTAACGACGAATAAATTCTTCTTTTAATGACCATTTCTCTACTGACAAATATTTCTATTAACTTATTTATAGGAACAAAATCCGTTGATAAATTAAAATTATGAAAATACACACTTTTAATATTACCAACTAAAATTTTTAAGTAACTTTGAATTATTTTTTAATCATCATTCAATAGAAACATATTTTTTTGAGATAATGTTTAATATCTTTATTATTTTGCTCATGCTTGATAGAGATTAAAATTAGATTTTTAATAAATTTTGATAAAAATTCATGAGATGTCTAGTAGAAAAGTTGTGGATCATATAAAATATGTGGTTAAAATTTGTTGTTGACTTTAATTTACATTAAAATTTGGATTTTAATTTTTACCAAACACGGAATTTATTTAGAGATGAAAATTTTATCGATACATTTAATTTATAAAAATAAATATTTTACATTGTCACGGACGGAAATCTTCATTTTTAATTTTTAATGATTATTTTGTTGCTTAGTATTAAAATTATATTTTTAGTAAATTTTGATAAAATTTGATAAAATGTGTGGTTGAAAAGTAACAGTACCCATAAAATATGTAGTTAAAATGAACTTTTGATTTGAATTTAAATCTAAATTTTAATATATACTAAAAAGGGGCCTAAATTTTAATTTATACCAAACAGAGGCTTAGATTTTAATCTGTACCAAACATGGCTCAACTTTTTTAGCCAACAATATTTATAGACATAAATACTACCCATTTATTATACAAGTGTTCAAAATATTTCTAAAGGAAAAGGTTGACTTTAATACTCCGATAGAAAAACTAATTGAGAATACATTTTCTTGAATTTGGAGGCTATGCCTAAACTTCTAGATGCTGAACCATGGTTAGGCAATAGTTGATTCCGCTCTAAAAGATTAAGGACATGTTTGGAAGAGATTTTGATTTTTCTACAATAAATCAATTCTCATTTTCAACCACACATTTTTCAATAAAATAATATTTTCCATCACATCAATAACTTTTTCCTTCCTTTCAACCATACATTTTTCATCAATCTACTATTCCAAAATACATTC